CGCCGGGCGCGGGGCCGCCGCCAGCCTCGTGCCGCCGCCGCCCATCAACACGGCGCAGCCCGGTGTGGCCACCTCGCTGCTCTACAGCGGCGCCAAGTTCCGCGGGCAGCAGCGCAGCAAGGGCAACGCCTACGACGTGGAGGTCGTCATGCAGGTGCGCGGCCTCCCATCTGCCCCCCTTGATGTCAGCCCCCTGCCCCCGCTATCTGCCCCCTTCCCATCATCTTTCCCCCCTTCATATCTGCCCCACTCCTGGGGTCAACCCCGCCCTGCTGTCTGCCTCTCGCTGCCTGTCCCAGCTCTGCTATCTCCCCCCGTTTTATGCCCCTTGTCTCTGCCCCCCCCACCCTCCATTTCCTTCCCCTCTTGGAGCCCCGCTGCCAAGGGGGATGCCCCAGGGCAGGGCAGGGGGCCCTGGGGCTGAAGCCGGGTGCAGACACGGTGCCCGGGGCAGAGTGGGGTGGGGTGCTGCTGGGTCCAGCTCCCTTTGCCTCTAGTGGACCTGGGGGCTGGGGCATCCCCAGGGGCGCTCCCCTCAGGGCCAGGCCCAGCCGGGAGCACCCTCAGCTCCTTCGCGGTCTCACCGGCTGGGCGGTTTGTTCCCATGGGAGGCCAGGACCGCAGCTGCTGGATCAGGGGGATCCCCTCAAGGGATCCTTGTCCCCACCACCTTCCCGGCCCTATCCAGGGTCACCGTCCGCCTGGTTTTTATTTTTAGTCACGGGCGCGATGGCCTTGGGCAGCGCGGGCGAGCCAGGGGGTTGTGTGGAAAGAAGCACGTTGGATATCTGATCCTCTTGTAAGGCGGCCTGTGGCTTTGTTTCCAGCCGGCCTGCGGAGGCACAGCCAGTCCTCAGTCACCTATAGCGAGCGCGTGAGAGCATCCGGTGCCCGGGCAGGGCGGTCGAGCAATGTCCGAGTCCCAAGGTCAGCCGACCTGCCGAGGGCTTGAACTGCCCTGTCGATCCTGGCTGATAGTGCCGCGCTTGTCAACTGCACGAGTGTACCTGAGCCCGCTCGTTTCAGTGGAGACATCCCATGGTGGATGGGCCTCACTACAGGCCCTTTTTCTCCCAAAGATTGCCGGGGCTCCCGGCTTTAACCCTCGTGTCACACGTGCGCACATCCATGTTCGTGTGTCTGCCTGTGTCCTCCGTGGGACCGGCAGCTGTTCCGCACGGGACCTTTACAGATGGGAAAGCTCCTCCTTCCCATTCAACGCCTGCGTTTTCCAGACTCTTCCACATGCCTGGAGGTTTCCCTTGGTCATTTGGAGAGTCCAGAGCAAAAGTTTCTGTAGCTACCGTGGGCCTTGAGGAAGCTCGTAATGGAAGAGCTCAGTGCCTTACTTCTCTGTGGCAGATGCGTTTGGTAATTAGTTGTAAGCCCAGTCACAGGGAGGAGAGAAAGCAAAGTATTGGGATTGTGAGAGGCACTTGAGGGTATGAGGGCTGCTTCTGAAGGCAGAAGATCCCAAGAAGGCTGTTGTGTGCAGCGCAGATGGAAGGGCTCGTAAAGAGCCAGACGTGGTGGCAGGGTGGGTAAAGAGCAGAGGTTGGGAACACTGTGGAAGTGAGGAGAGATGATGTGTTAACAGAGTTGACTTCAAAGCCAAAGCTGGTAGCCAGGGCCAGGGGAAGAGGAAACAGATCTTGCTTGAGGACATTCCTTCCGGTCTCTTTGAACCACTGGTAGCATGTGGCTGGAGCAGGACCAGTTTAGGACACCAGGATCTCATCCGAGGTCTGTCTCTGAGGCACTGGGGCCGAGTGAATCACTTCTGAGTCCTTTTCCTCTCTGATCCCTGGGCGGCAGTCCAAGGTCTTACTAATTCGCTGGAAGCAGGTAAGATGTTCCATGGTCGTCTGGTCAAGGCTGGTGAGCAAGGTCCCTGGAAGTGATCCATTCCATGGTGCTCACCGCTGTGTGATCTCGCAACAAGCTGAGCCGTGCAGTCCTGACTGAGCCTCTGGAGCTGTGTGCTGATGGGACATAGGCTCACGAACGGTTTCTGTGCTCTCTCCCCCAGCACGTGGACATGGAGAACTCCTACCTCTGCGGATACTTGAAGATCAAAGGCCTTACAGAGGTGAGCACCTCCTGCAGAGGAACTAGGACTCTTTCTCCTTCTGGAAGCAGGGAGTAGGTCTCCAGACACTAGTATAGCAGGGCAGGGCAGGGCAGTGCCTTGGAGACTACTTGGTTCAAAGAGGCCTGAGTTTTCCTAAGCAGCAACCTACTTTGCCAGATGCTAGGAGTGCACTGGTCTGATGAAATGTCTAGTGAAGTAGGTTGCTGCCAACAAAATCTCATGGCTCTGAACCAGGTAGGCTCTCAGGTACCACCCTGCCTTCACTCCAGACTAACGCAGTCAACCACCCCTGGTGTCGAGGGATAAAGGTCCAGCCGGCTGATCCTGCAGCGAAGCTGGCAGAATGAGCGGAGTCACCTGCATTTGGCAGCATTGCTGTGGGAGATGAATGTAACCAACTTTGTGGAAAACTTGGGTCCAAATTTGTCCCTGATGTCACTTTAAGTGCTGTGCTGGGACCAGTGAGCTGGCTACAAGCATCTCTATGTTGCTTAAATTAAAAACAGACAGGCAGGAGTTTCTTTGACCTCCACCTTTCCACCCTCAGCATCTTGGAGCTGCTTCTGTTTTCAGTAGATGTTCAGCAAGGTGACTGGGGTAATGCTCTGGTCATCCGATACTGTTCTAATGCTGGTTACAGGCTTCTCCAGGGGCAGGCTGCCTGCTCTAGCAGGTGATACGTAGCAGCTGGCCTCTGCCCTAGGGTCTGCTGAGCTTGCACACAACAGACCTCTGGATTCAGTATTGCTCTGGGATGTTCCAGGAGCAGGGCAAAGGCCTGGAAAGATGGCTGGGGGAGGTGGGTAGGGGAGGAGATGGGAAGGGCTGGGCTGGTGCAGATATACGAGGAAGCATAAGATGATTTGCTCAGCACAAGGAGGGGGCATCACAGCCGTGTCTCAGACCACGTGGCGTCTTACTGATGAAACCGTTTAGTGAATGGGTTCCTCTTATCACCAGATCTCTGGTGTTTCTGATGCGAGATCTTCTGAATTCCCTTCAGTCCCCTCTGTGTGTGCTTGCTTCTAGGAGTACCCAACCCTCACCACCTTCTTTGAGGGCGAGATCATCAGCAAAAAGCACCCCTTCCTGACCCGGAAATGGGATGCGGACGAGGACGTGGACCGCAAGCACTGGGTAAGCGAGCATGCTGGAAGCTGCAGAGAGGATCGAAGCAGCCCTGTATGTACCCCACGGCCAAAGGGGATGTGCCAAGACTTTAAAAAGAGCCAGGGTTGTTCCTGGGGGCCAGAGAGGGCCTGAAACAGTCTATTGAGGGTTGTTCCAACTTGCTTTCTGCTGCCTGCTTGCTCCCTGGCTGCTACTGTCGTTGCCCCAGACCAGACCCCTTGTGTCAATGTCTTGTGCAGTTCAGTTTGCAGGTGGAGGAAGCTCTTTTCTTGGCACTAGCAGCTGGCTTTGGTTTGGCAATCCCTGAGTAGCTGAGTCTATGCCACAGTTGCCAGGGGAAACAAGCCCTTGGAGGAGCAGCAGCTTTGGGGTCCCCTGATTTAGCAGTGGAAAGGCCTTGGTGGGCTCAGAGGTCCTGCCAGCCAGGAGGAGTGGCATGGGCTTCTGACAGATGGGCCCAGACCTGGAGGGAGCGTGGTCATTGGGGGTGCCTCCACCCTCTGCTTGGCGCAGTGGAGCACCTGCTGCCAACAGTACATTCCACTGCGGGGAGGGGCAGGCGGAGGGGGTTCTGCCAAGCGCAGGCCTGGGAGGGGCGAGATGCCCCTGCACAGAGCGGGGATGCTGCATGGATCCCTCGCTACCTTTGCCCAGCATGGGCTGGGAAGGGTACATGGTTTACAGGCTCTTGCCGGCGAGCTGTGACTGCAGCTGTTTTCCCAGCAGTGGTGCATGGGTGCTGGTGTGATACAGGCCTCTGATGTCGGTTGTCCCTATAGGAAGGGCTGACGGGAGGCTGGGGTTCTCCGGTCAGTTGGTGTGTTTCTACGTGCAGTCATTCACTACAAGTGAATCCATTCATTTAAAAAAAAAAAGGGGGGGGGGGGGCCCTTGTT